TCGGTCACTCAGCCCATTCGCAGATAGTCACGGCTGGCATAATAAGATTAAGATGGTTCTAGAACATTCTTCGACTATCGCTCACCCTACTGAATTATCCAGGTTTTGTAACCATATCTTATGTGTGAATTGACGTTTCTAACCTTTTAGTGTCACAAATTAACTGTTGTAGCAACAATTTGATAGGTCATCTCGACTTTGGCGAGCGGTGTTATGGCTGTACCCTGGTGTTTATGAGGTTCGAAAGCTACGATTATAAACATTGAGTTTTCTTAAATCATTACATTATATATTATATATTATGTAACCTGGGATAAATTAATTTGGTTGCAGATGAAGTTTGTTATTGATGGTCATTGGAGAATCGATCCTCAACGGGAGTCGGTTACTCGGAGCGGTGTACATAACAACATTCTTCGAGTGGATAGGTAGATAGATAGGTGATTGTGTTTCTCTTTCGACTCTTGTCTGAATCTTGTGTACAGTCGATTAATGTTTGTATCGATGTCGAAATATGATGTTTTTGCCGGTTCTACCCTTTTGGAGCAATTTTAGTTTGTTTGGTTATGGAAGATCAATGATGCTTTAGTATGATTCTATAAATTGTTGAATAAATAAGCCATTATGAATATATATAAATTTTTAGGGTAAATTAATTACGGCCACCCATGTGGTAAGGATAAATTACAAAAAAACTTCTCATGTTTAGGTAATTACAATCACTCCCCTCAACTATGAATCTTCTTACACATTCACCCTTGCAGTGTTAAATTTAGTAGAATCTTCTAGATTATGTGGAATATTCTCTAGTTTGTAACTGTTTTATGTTATTTGAGTTCCACATTTTGTAACAAAATGATCATAAGATACGTCTATTGGCTTGTATTATCAGATTATGGTGCATCAGAAAACTGCATTTTTTTACAAAATAAAAATAATATAGTGTACTAGTATAAATCCAAAATATAAAAGTAACAAATTAAATATAGAAGAAATATAAATGTTGGTAAGTGAAGAAAATAAAAATAAGAAAAATAATAAATGTTGGGGGTGGGGGTGGGGGTGGGGGCGTGTTGAGAGCACGCGTACAGGTTGATTTAAAGTGAAGAAGATAGAATCGTGTCTCTTTCCCATCCCTTGTCGCTCTATCTATCTATCGATCTCCAAATTTCTTACACACACACACACACACACACACACACACACACTGTCACACACACACTAACAACACGCAGAAAGTAGGAAAGTTGAAAAATGGCTGTCGTAAATGCATCATCTCTCGTTGCTTTCAGACAGCTATCTTCTTCTTCTTCTTCTCCTTCTCTTATGCCTCCCACTTTCAAACAAATGCCCTTTGCATCAGCAAAAATTAGGGTTTTTTGTACTTCCACATTTGCCCTCAAGAACATCAATACTTCCGAAACTGTGGATTTAATCGAAGAGGAAAATGAAATAGAATCATCCGAGACTGTATTGTATTCCTTCTCTCCTTTACCGTTGCTGCTTTTCGCTGCTCTTCCTGGAGGTATTTAATAAATAATAATCCCCCACTTTTTACATTTATTTTTTTATTTATTTTACGATGTTGAAATGAATTGCATTGATGTTTAATCTGTTTGGTTGTAGTTATGTAGTAGATGTATGCATTATGCAATGCTGTCTTGTCATAAAAATATAATCGAATTTCGAATGCAATGTAGGAATTAGGAACCCTAAATGTTGAAAATGCAATTTTGTTTTGGGACGGTCGGTATTGAATCTGTTATATTTATGCCTAAAATCGTAATATTCATATACTTAATGTCGAATATATTCCGGAAGCTACTAGATTATTACTACCATATTGACTTGATCGTAAATTTTAAATCAGCTACAACGGTGACTTCTCTGTTTAGCCCTTTTGTCGAGATCGTAAAGTCATTCAACCTCCCTGGTTGGCTTGTGCACTGGGGTCACCCTGGGAACATGGTACGCTTCTCTTCATCCTTGTTCCTTAATCCATTCTTGTTCAGACAATCTCGACAAAAAAAAAAAAAAAAAAGCTAATTTCTCGATTGACTCTCTCTATAATAAACTTGTCATAACTTTTTGTAGGCTGTTGTGCTTTTTGCTATGGGTGGTTACGGGACTTATTTGGGCTTCCGTATTCGCTTCTCAGATGATGTTGTAAGGATTCAGATCACAAATATATTATGTATACTTTTACGATGGATAACTTGTTACGAAATATTTCAATCTAAAGGTGCTTAAACTTATTTATTAAACTTATTTGCAGGAGGAGAAGGCGAAGGCGAAAGATTTGCATCCTAAGCTTCTTGCAGGAATGTTCTTCTTCTTTGCTCTTGGAGCTACTGGTGGAGTTACGTCTCTTCTCACTTCAGACAAGCCCATCTTAGAAAGGTATATATATATACACACGCACACAAATATATCTATAGATCTTGAGAAAACCAGACGATTTTCCATTTCACAACAAATTTTTTTTTTTTTTCCGTTTTTCTCTTGCAGTCCTCATGCTGTAACAGGTTTGATCGGGCTTGCACTTTTAACACTTCAGACAGTATTGCCAACACTATTTGAGGTAATAACCTTAATCGAAACAAAATAAATTTTTTTCTCGTGTTATTCTTTCTCTGTATTCTAATTCTTGATTTTTTTATTTTTTTATTTTTGTATAGGGAAATTCAGGATTGCGCAATGTACATGCAATCTTGGGCAGTGGCATTATGACATTGTTCCTCGTTCATGCGGCGTTAGGGCTTCAACTAGGATTGAGTTACTAATCCCTTTTGACGAAAGGCGAAAGCCATAAGAGATATATTTGATGGCATCAAATCTAATGGTGCTCATTCTTTATAGACTATAGTGTACTAAAAAATAAAATTATATCTACTGTTACTTAAATTGAAATTAACTTGATGCTAAAAAGAAAAGTTGGTCCCTCCTAGTTAAAGCGTATCTCGTACATTTTTTTTCCATGAAAATGCGTTCGATTTTCCGGATATTGAACTGTGATCCTGTGCTAAATAGCAGCTGTTTTCACAATATCTCAATGTTGTGCTTACTAATTAATACTCAAGTGATGTATATGCCTGGTAACTTCAATAGTGAAGATTTAATAGAGATAGCCGTCAAAATAAAGGGTGAAAATCGAATCGGAATTAGCACTTTCCAGGGGAAAAAACTAATTACAATTTCGCTCCACAGCAATTAGAAAAAAGTCGGAAATTTGTACTGGAAAAATCTGCGAACTTCGAAAACACAACAACATTTGTATCGTAAACGTATATTTTGGAGAAAAAAAAGATTCAAAAAAAAAAATGGAAGCATTTTTTAAAATTAAAATCGGATAAAAAAAATTCCCTTGAAATTGATTTTTTTATAATTCATAATGCAAAATATTGTTCCAAAATTGTAAATTTTCAGAACTAATTCATAAAAAAAATGGAAAATTTGTTTCAATGATTAATTTTGGGCCCAAGTCAAAATACATTGACTAATAATTCCACTAATCCACTACTATTGAGATCCACAAACCTAATGTATATATATTAATTACATATTTTCACATGCAACCAACGAATATGATTCAAATAAGAATCTCCATCAATTTATTATTATTGTTATGGGTATGGCCAATAATAGGATATTAATCTAATCCACCACGTCTAAGTTACACATATGGTCGCATACTAATTGGACGCACGTCCACACAATTATTTACATGCAATATTCGTTTCCCTTCCCTATTATTCTTAGGTGTTGTTTGCAAAACATTTAAAAGAAATCACAAGTTGGAGATTATGATTTAAGTTAATGATAAGTACTTATTTTTAAAAGTTAGGGGTGTTTGCAAAAATTTATAACAGTTGGTTTAGTGGTATTTTTCTTATTTCAGCTCAAATCAGCTTATTCTAAAAGGAATAGAAGCAAAAGTTAATATTGCAAACACTAATCCATAAAAGCTTATAATCATTTTCCATAAGCTTTCACAAATACCACCTTAACATGTAACTCAAATGACCATTTTGACTGGAAAATTGCTCGAGAATGCGGAGAGTTGTAAAGATGTGCAAACGGATCTAATTTATCGAGCTTAATTCGAGCTCAATCGAATAAAATAATTGTTTGAAACTTTATTAACTATTTAACTAATTAAAAGTTAAAATTAGTACAAAAAAATAGTTCAATTTAACCTTCTCTAGATAGAAGGGTATATTATTATTACTATTTTTTTTTTGTTATCAAAAAAAAAAAGAAAAAGAAAAAGAAAAGGTATATTATTACCATAAAAATATTAAAACCATAAAATGACATCATTATGATCAATGTAGGCTAATATTATTTTCCTTAGCACCGAAAGTGCAGATATCGACCAAATTCATTGAATCTCTTTGGGTTAGTTTTATTTTATTCATTTGATTTTATTTTGGGAAAAAAATAATTTCTGAGGATTTTATTAAAAAATAAAAGCTTCTTTAACATTCAAATCATATCTAAAAATATTTATGAGATCCACTATTTTTATAATAAATACATTATGACTGCTTAAAATAACAGTATTTTCAAATAATTCCCTAATATGAGTCCCAATTAAAAAAATCCAAATTAAATACAAAATTTATTATGGGAAAAAGGGGCAAGTTTTAAAAAAAATGGGCCAAACATGGAATAAGACATTCACCAACTCACGTACACCTTCTAATGCACAGTGTACAACTCTTCAACTGCCAAAACTTCCTCCACCATTCCCACCTACCGGCTACCAACACAAAAACAAAAAAAAACCGAAAATAGCCAATAATATATCCACCGTTGATGAACCCTTCAATCGCCACTCTGCACCGTCGGATTAACCGGGGCCCACCCGAAGGCGTTTGATAGGCGGGTCCGGGTAGGGTAGTTGTTTTGTTATGCTGGTTTTTCCAACGGAAACTTGGGAGAAAGAGTGCGAATTATTCGGATCCGTCTCTATATATACCCGCTTCTCCGTTCCGTAAAATCACACTGCATTTGCGCTCTGCTCTTCTTCTTCTCTGCTTCTCCATTTCTCTGGTCTGTAGATCTGCACTTCTCCATTTTCACCAAAGGTTTGCTTACGTCATCAGATCTGGTTATTTACTTCTGTTATTGTTTGGATCCATGTTTCCGTATTGCTTTTTTTTTTTTATGAATTCATGTGTTCAAAACGAAACGTCGGCAGATTTGGTGTTTTTCTCTGCAGACGAATAAGCAGTTTTTTGGTTGGTGTTTTTTTTTTTTAATCGAACTCACCAAATCTAAGAGTTGCTTCTCAGAATTTGATGAATGAAGCGTTAATTTTCGTGTTGTTTAATCTGAGATTCAGATCTTGTTGCGTTTTTGTTTTTGACAGAGAGAATTTTATGATTTTGGGATAAGGATCTGTATCTTGCTGTACGTAATTCGTGATCCAGTGATTTATCTGATGCGTAAATTTAATGGCATTAATTAGATTTATATTTATAGATCTGTATGGTCTGGAATTATATATTTCTAGATTATTCCTTAACATGACGTAGAAACTGTGATTATTTGGATCATATCAGCTGGTTTAATTAGATTGCAAATTTCAGTTTGATTTTAGTTGGTGTAATTAGACACTGAAATTTTAATTAGTTCTTCTGCAGTTTCTGATTTTAAGAAATATTATATTGAATCAGATGCTTGGGTGATGAGCCAATAATCTACATATTTAATTCAAGCAGAGATCTCTATTTTGTTCTGAAAATTAACATGAGTGTGATGTGCTTGATATGTTTTTACATTCAAATGTCTGGTTTTATTGCTAAATGCTACCTAAACTAACACATAACCTGTCAATTTTGTTTCAGAAAAAAACATGGACACCTTCCTATTCACCTCAGAGTCCGTCAACGAAGGACACCCCGACAAGCTCTGCGATCAAGTCTCGGACGCCATTCTCGATGCTTGCCTCGAACAGGACCCCGAGAGCAAAGTCGCCTGTGAGACATGCACCAAGACCAACATGGTCATGGTCTTTGGTGAGATCACAACCAAGGCTAACGTTGACTACGAGAAGATAGTCCGATCCACATGCAGAGGTATCGGCTTCATCTCACCAGATGTTGGCCTTGATGCTGACAACTGCAAAGTCCTGGTCAACATCGAGCAACAGAGCCCCGACATTGCCCAGGGTGTCCACGGTCACCTCACCAAGAAACCTGAAGACATTGGAGCTGGCGACCAAGGTCACATGTTCGGCTATGCAACCGATGAAACACCTGAGCTCATGCCGCTCACTCATGTCTTGGCAACAAAACTCGGTGCTAAGCTCACTGAAGTGAGAAAGAACAAAACTTGCGGTTGGTTGAGGCCCGATGGAAAAACCCAAGTCACTGTTGAGTACAAAAATGACAACGGTGCTATGGTTCCGATCAGAGTCCACACTGTCCTAATCTCCACTCAGCATGACGAAACTGTCACAAACGAGCAGATTGCAATCGACTTGAAAGAGCATGTGATCAAGCCAGTGATTCCAGCTCAGTATCTTGATGACAAAACCATCTTCCACCTTAACCCATCTGGCCGATTCGTGATCGGTGGCCCACATGGAGATGCTGGTCTCACCGGAAGGAAGATCATCATCGACACCTACGGTGGCTGGGGTGCCCATGGTGGTGGTGCTTTCTCCGGCAAAGATCCAACCAAGGTTGACAGGAGCGGTGCCTACGTTGTGAGGCAGGCGGCAAAGAGTATCGTTGCCTCTGGGCTTGCTCGCAGGTGCATTGTGCAGGTTTCGTATGCTATCGGTGTGGCTGAGCCGCTCTCTGTGTTTGTTGATACTTACAAGACTGGAACGATTCCGGACAAGGATATTCTGGTCCTTATTAAGGAGAACTTTGACTTCAGGCCCGGAATGATTGCTATCAACCTCGACTTGAAGAGAGGAGGTAACTTTAGGTACCAGAAGACTGCTGCATACGGTCACTTTGGTCGTGATGATGCTGACTTCACCTGGGAGACTGTCAAGACACTCAAGCCTAAAGCTTGAGTCTTTTTTTAAGGGCTACATATATACAGACAACACTTCTGCAAATTGGTATTTTATTTTCTTTTGTTGTTGGAATTATATTAGTTGCAGATTGAATAAACAAAGTTGGCTGGCTGGATATATATCGAAGGTTGCGCGGATATGTTGAAGGACGCCGAGATCGAAGATTAGTACGGGTTTTAATTTTTTTTAAAATTTTTATTTTGAGGGATATGCATGGGAGAGTCTATTGTATTTGTTGAATGTGTTTGTTGTTATTTTGATGTTTGTTTTGCGGTTAGCAAAGTTGTTATCCTACTATTCTATTTTTCTGCAGCAGGCTCAGTAGTCTGGAATGAGTCTTTGCTTTGAATGTATTATGTCTTTTTTCATACTTTCTGAAATTACCAAACTGTTCTATGAAAATTGTTTTTTCATATTTTTTTAAATATTTTTCATTTATTTTTTAACCGCCAAGAAAAATCACAAAAAATCATATACTATATAGCACACATTTTTTGCTAAAAGTAGTTGAAATGTTCAAAAAAATGTTATTACACTCAAATATATAATAAAAAAATGTTATTTAAAAAAATATGTATTCAGTAACTTGTTCATTTAAAAACTGGTTCACTAATTTTTGAATTATTAACAAAAATCACAAATTTTGTTAAAATGACTTAAATTTTGTTTTTTTTTAATATATTTTGTTCAAAATCATTATATTGTTCAAATATTATAGTAGTTAAGAAATTGTTCGTCTAAATGTGTTTCACAATCTTCAAGAAAAATCACAAATCGCATATGCCGGAGATTCCGGCCTCAGGTGTAGATTTTTTCCAGCTTCTGTCGAAGACATCTTGATTTAATCGCTTTGGACCCCTCTGCAGTCCGCATTCATGCCCCATGACTTTTAGTTGGAGGCTTCCATAACCCCGGTGGAGATTTGCTCAGCCGGTTTGGGGATTTGACGTCTCACACCGGAGGCGACAAAATAACGTATAGCTAGTTCGAAATTTTATCCAGAAAGCCATACGAATGAGAATGACAATAAAAGAAGAAAATTGATAATACTTAACAATTGGAGCCCACAAATTATGCAGTGAACTCTGTAAATGAGGTAATCTTTCACAGTTCAGACTCCTCCAGAGAATTTTCATTATCATTTCTTGAAATTGTAGTCATATATGATAATACAGAAAAATCGATTGATGTTTTAAAATATAGTGAGTTGTTCATCAAATCAATTTTCTACTTCCATTTCCCCCCTATTCTCCCCACTTTTATCTCGTCATCTCATCTGCGCGCAACACCTCTTTATTTCCTTACAAGTTACGAATGGTGATGTCATTATCCAATTCTCGTAACTTAACCCCTCGTGAAGCTCTTTTACGGACACTTTAAAGCTTTTTTTTACCAATTAAATAACATTCGATGCTCAGTCAATTTCAGAAAATGCACCAGGATGAAACTTGTTACATAATGCTTCTGCAGCAGCACTGATTCTTCCTTTGTCCTGCAATTAGTTTCCATAAATTCAGCAAATTTATTGCAAGTATCACTTTGTCGTAACAGGTTGATATTCAACTTCTATACACCATTTACCTTTCCTTTGAAGCTAATGATCAGAGGATCTTTTCTTGATTCCCGATAGCCCCCTTCATGTACCAAGGAAATGGGATAGTAAAATAGTAACACGGAATGGCGAAAAGGTAAATAAATGAATAAATCCATTACAAAAGTGTTTTCTTACCGATGAATAAATCAGGAAATTCAAAACACATTTCTGAAAGAGGCTGAGCAGCTTCCACCTACATAATGGATGATTTTAAATTTGTAAAATTATACATGGTACAAAATGTATTTAGGGGAATTATCATGGTAGTCAAAATCGGGATTCTAGGTAGAATCGAAAAGCAAGTGTAGAATCGGAATCGTAAAATCGCATCGTATAATCGTAGGATTTTAAGTATCTTCTATATTAAATATATAAAATAACTCCTCAAACATATAAAAGATCCCAAAACATCTTAACATAGTTTAACCATAAATAAAATGTCTCAACTCTCAATTAAAGGACTAATAAACTAGCTTAAGTCATCAATATTTGCATTTGGATCTAATTCATCTTCACTCCCCTCATCATCACCATCATCATTATCACCTACCTGTTAGAACTTTAGCATAATACTTGCATTGAATCGTTTTTTAATCATTCACAGTTGGCAAATTTAGCTCAATTGCACAATTCAATTTTTGCCCATACTTAAAATCGGTAGAATCCCATAAAAATCGCGGATGTTAACGATTTTAAGGACTTAAATGCCGATCCTAAAGGATTTTAACACACTTGGATTTTAATAGCGATTTGACAAGGTGGAGGGGGTTAGAATCTTAGAATCCTAGGATTTTAGGATGCAAATCCCGATTTTAACTACCATGGGAATTATAAATGAATTACACTAGAAGGAATATTCTTACTTAACAAAGGGTCGTTAAAAATGCACGAAAGGCAGATATACATTTCATAAACATATATGATAGGTGAATTTATTTTTTCTATCGAACTCTGGCAAAAGCAGAAGAATAACAGATACAAACAATTGATTCACACAAGACTCACATCCGAAAGAGTTGTTGACAGTCTCTTCAACACAAATGGTTCCGTAATTGCTAAAAGCCCGTTGGATTTCATTAACTCAATCAAGCAATTCCACTCCTCGTCCAGCTCATCAATATTTGTCGCGGTAAGAATTATCACATTTTGGCACTTGATCTATGAAATACAAATCGGAAACACAATTATTCAAGATTCCGCTTTCAGATAGTAATCAAGAAGAGAAAAAAAAACAAAGAAACTCAGGACCAGGTGTTCGAAAATGAATCTCTTGTACTTGGATGATTGATAAATAAATCAACTAAAAACAGAAATAACTGAGTAAAATGCACACGCCGAAAAAACAGAGATTAAAGATAATGTTAACTTACCAAAGGAACACTCAATTTCTCATGATGCCACAACTCAGTGATGCCTTCAGGCAACTGCGCCATCTGAAATTGAAAGCAGACAAATCAATAGTCAATAGTAGCGAAAAAGAAGATAATATGTTGAAGATGTAATAGTATCATAATTCATAAGGATTGCCATTCAGTGGATTAATCAATCTTTTCTCGATTTTTTCAAATACGTCAAACTTAAAAACGGTATTTTGTACGTGGTTGGGCAACGGCGAAGAAATTAATCAATTTTTAATTTCATCAAGGGTATTATTTTCTTCTCTGTAATAATTGTGTTCCCATCCCTTCTTGACATCAAGGGTATAATAATAACATTAAATCATAAATTTCACATTTACGTTACCTCATTCCTATGCCCTGTGCACCTTTCTCCAATGAGATGCCTCAAATATTCTTCAAATTCTTCATCAGGCGCCTTCGAGAAAGAACGGTACTAAGTGAATGTAATGATAGTAAAAGTAATAATACTAGGAAGACTAAATTAATTAGGTTACTACATATTTCAGAAATATCAAGGTGTACCATGCGGACACCAAATGCCTTGGCAACACCAGCTACAGTGACATCTGATGGTAATGGACCAACCCCTCCGTATATGAAAACCTGCAGTAACAGCAGGCTCAAGTTTCACAGTGAACACATAACATGCACATGCACACAGAGCAAATGCAAAAGAAAAGTTTACCATATCATTTCTAGATTTTTGTCTCTCAACTTCCTCTGCAACAGAATCAATCTGGAAATATGACCTTAAGTGAAGTTAAATATATAGTGGAAGTCAACGCAAGGATATCTTAAGACTTTGTATTGTCAGAAACATTTTGACAAAGTCATACAAACACTACTTTGCTTCTTGAATCTTAGAATGAAGAAAATAGTAGACAGAATTAGAAAGCATAATGACGATTTTCCAGCATGATACAAGTATACGGAAGATCCGCAGTTCTGTTTTAAAGAATATTCGAAGTGAAAGACATCGCATTGGATGGAAGGTTCTATATGCATTAATAAAAAATCAAAAATTAGTATTAACAGATTTTCTTTGCCTTGTTTTATCAAAAAGCACATCCAAAATGAAAACACAAAGATTATGCAAAAGTCTATTAATTGCCATGTTCGATGCGATTTTGTGTCTACCCTACCTTCTAAGGTTTCTTATTATTACTATGCATGGTTCTTCCAAACCAGTACATCTTATTGTGCTGCGAGTAAATCAAACTTGAGAAAATATAGAGTTTACTGTAGAAAAAAATTAAGAGGTAAAAATCTTAAAGCAACTTACGTCGTTTCTGGTAACAGCAATATGTGCAACAGCCCAGCCTATTAAATGGAGCTTTCTACACAATATGGATCCCATCCGATCCTCAACAGTGCCAAACCTGAGCTATGAAACCAACACAAGTATATCATTTACAAAATGACAGAAAACCGATATGCCACCCACGGTAAGATATAGCATCCAGTTAAAATAAATAAAAAAAAAAAAAAAAAAAAGAGATCAAGATCAATTGAATCCCCCAGAAAGTAATCAAGATAACAGTCGGCTACAAAAACTTACAGGATTTCATCTCCCACAGCAATGACTGAGGCTGTAAACATGCTTTGCAGATTCACATCGTCACTTCTCAAGCCATTGCAAATAACAGACGATGACTGAGAAATGAGCTTTTTAGCTCTCCCTGCTCTTTCCAATCTTCCATCAGAAAGCAAATAGGCAGGTCTGAATTTATCTTCACTACTGCTGGATTCGCTACGGCACAACAGTGCATTAGGAACGGTGTCATGAATGCTACCAATTGAGGTGTAACTGCATGAAATTAGGTAAATAAAATGAATATCAAAATACGAACAAGGAAAGCACAGAAACTATCAAAATTTGCTGGATTAAAGGAATTTTAGGAAAGTTTACCCTCGATCATAAAGGCTGCAATAAGGAACCTTGCAAGCCAAGAGAAAAGCCCAAACATCTCTGCAACACAATTAGTGGAAGGTAAGACCAGGTGCTGATGCAGTAATAGAGGGACTAAATCTTGCAATCAATTAAACGTTATGTTTATTTATGAAATACGGAACACTTATAATATCTCTTTATATGTTATTTATTGTTTGTAGTTTGTATTTCCTTGATAATTTTATTAAATTCTAAACATAAACCCTCGGGAAAAATACTGGACTCGCCACTGGTTGAGGGTGAGTTCAAGTACACAAAATCCAATACATGCACACACACACACACACACAAAAATACAATATAACTCCGGTAAAAAATGGCTAATCTGAAATATTCACGCATAAATGTTTCAGACATCAATTATAACAAATCACGAAAGTCCTATCATACAGCACGGAATAATAAAATAATCCATGAAAGGCATAAATACAATTTAAATATAGAGAACTGACCTGTATGACCAATCCAAGACGGGATTCACTCTCATGAAAGGCGGCCATCCAGGTGAACTAGGGGAGAACTGCTCCTGCCCTACCTGGAATAATAACCGGGAAAATAGTTCATTATCCTTTTTCTCACTCATTAGTTAGTTGTGCACAAGTTACAAATCTATGAGAAATCAAATAAATTATACGTACTGCAGTAGGATCACCAATTCGGACACCAAGAAAAATAGCTCTGATAGGATTAGCTTTTAGAAGAGCCTCCAGGCCAGACTTGAAATCCAGGCGAATGATATCCATTTGTAATTTGTAACTGCCATTCGAAGAAAAAGGAATCGATCATTAGTTGAAGAATACACACACACACACATTTATATATATATATATATATATATAGAGAGAGAGAGAGAGAGAGAGAGAGAGAGAGAGAGAGAGAGAGAGAGAGATAGAGAGAGAGAGAGAGAGAGAGAGAGAGAGAGAGAGAGAGAGAGAGAGAGAGAGAGAGAGAGAGACAGAGAGAGAGAGAGAGAGAGAGAGAGAGAGAGAGAGAGAGAGAGACACAGAGAGCGAGAGAGAGAGAGAGAGAGAGAGAGATCGATATACTATAGAAAGAGTT